CACACACACACACACACACACACACACACACACACACACACACACACACACACACACACACACACACACACACTCAACAGTGTCTCGTCTGCACTGTATGTCTGAGCCTCTCTCTCTCTTTCTTTCCCTAAGTTAAGTTTATCGTCTTACTGAGGCAAAAACGACATCGTCCTCGCGGTTGTAAAATGGTTGCCTGTCTCTCGCACACACACGCATACATACAGACTTACACACATATATATCCACACACACACACACACACAGACACATACACACATATATAAACACACATATATAAACACACACACACATAAATATACATACACAATTACACATATAAAAACACACATATATTCACACATACATGCATACACATATATAGCTATCCTCGCCCTCCCTGTCGTCCTCTCCTACATCTTCTATTACCCCACCCCCTCCTTTCTTTCCTCTTCTCCCATCCTATCCTTCTCATCTTCTCCCTCTTCTCCACTTCCCAGGCTATTAGTAAGACCTTCACAACACAAGCACTTAAAACCAAGATTCTATTCCTTTTGTTCAAGCAGCTTTCTTTCCTTACACAAACAACAGAGAGAGGAGGGAACGACGACCAAGGAGGTGTGTATGTGTGTGTGTGTGTGTGTGTGTGTGTGTGTGTGTGTGTGTGTGAATTTAAAACACGTACGTTAATATATACAGTAAGTGTGTCAAGGAGGCAATATAAACACAATTTTATCTCTCCAACACCTATAAATGTTTAAGTTGCCATGACAGTGATGTTTAAACTTACACATTAGACACACACACACACACACACACACACACACACACACACACACACAGACACAGACACAGGGCGTTATTTCTTCTCGCGTGTTTTGTTGAACGTGAGGATTGATGGCTCGGGAAGCACGTGGCTCAGGTCTCAAGTTGATTCATAAATGTTTCTCTGAGGGGGACGGCGAGACCAGAGAGGACAGCGAGACCAGAGGGGATGAAGAGACTAGAGAGGACAATAGAAAACAGCGAGACAAGAGGGGATAGCGAGACCAAAAGAGGGGGCAGCGAGACCAGAGGGGACGGCGAGACCAGAGGGAACAAGAGGGGAAGAACTGGTAAGAAGTCATCTCTACAATTGTTAAGACTGCCGCCTACCCTGACCTGCTGTGCCCTGGCCTACCCTGGCCTACCATAGCTTACCCCGACCTACCCTGATCTACCCTATCATACCCCAATCTGCTCTGACCTACTCATTGGTCTGTCAGGTCAACTACACACTAATTGTCCCTAAACACTTAATATGACCTTGACCTTTGACCTCGAGTCTTATATCTGATGTCGTGCACATCACCGTGTATAAAAGTTACATCAACACATCATCGGTACGGACGCGTGAGTAATGCTTCGAGCCAAGGAAAAGTTTGCAGACAGACAGACAGACAGACAGACAGAGACAGAACAACAAAAAGAAAAATAACAAAAAACAAATAACCATACACGACCCCCCAAAAAAATATATATACCCTGTATATATATATATATATATATATATATATATATATATATATATATATATATATATATATATATATATATATATATATATATATATATATATATATATATATATCACACGGGAAAAGGGAAACAACGGAGCACCTTAGCTATCGTCTGAAGATGTCTTGAATAAAGACGAAAGTTAAGGTGCTTCGTTGTTTCCCATTTTACCAATTTATCTTATCCACGTTTTCATTGTGGATCTACATGAAATATATATATATATATATATATATATATATATATATATATATATATATATATATATATATATATATATATATATATATATATATAGCCTATATATATATATATATATATATATATATATATATATATATATATATATATATATATATATATATATATATATATATATAGGGGTGAATTTTCCTCGTGACTTAAGAGAGAGAGAGAGAGAGAGTTAAGAATATAAACATCGCCTCTGACCTTTTAAAAACTAAACAACCTGCTGAGCACGTCCGAATACTGGCGCAACACGTCCAATAATGGCGCAACACGTCCAATAATGGCGCAACACGTCCAATAATGGCGCCCTTGGTAGTTTACGTTAAGACTCTTACTAACTGGATTAACATACGTTCATTTAATTAGAGGTTAAAGGAGGTGATAGTTAAGGAAGTTAGTGAGGATTTTGTTAACAGTTAATTAGTGTTTGTTAACAGTTTAGTTTTACGGGGGAAAGTTTTTTAGAGAGTTTGTTTTACGTATTTCTGGTTTTTGTTATCATTTTTTTTAGAGTTTTGACAGTAATTATTATGGTTTTGTTAATCATCAGTTATTAATGTTTCGTAATTATAACAGAGGCATTGTTATTAAGTTACTTTATTACTAGTTTTGTTATCAATTCCTTCGTTATATATATATATATATATAATATATACTGTATATGTATATATATATATATATATATATATATATATATATATATATATATATATATATATAATATATACTGTATATGTATAATTTATTCTTATTTGATAATTAGTTCATGCGTTCGGTTATTCATCACTAAATCTTAATTATCAATTACAAGGAATGAACTGTCAATTACTAAGGTTCAATTATATTATCAATTACTTGTGTTCAATTATCAACTAGAGGAGGTTTTATTTACAATAATTACGTTTTGCTATAAATTATCAAGATTTCATAATCAATTATCACACTCTGCTATAGATTATCAAGGTTCTATCACCAGATTATCAAGATACAATACAAATTATATAAAAATTCGAATCACCCAATCCACTGAGAATCATAAACCACTCTGGAAAAGTTTTATCCCTCGGCTGCCCGGGACTCTATGCCGTTTCCTTCCCAAGACAACACGCATGCCTTACTAACCATCATCCCAAACTCGGCTAAAACCACCTGCATGATTATTATACCTGTTCTATATATATAAACCTTGCATGATGTGGCGATATCATGCGGAAGAATCGAGAGTATAAATCATTCAGATACATCACCCGTATTTTTTTTCCCGTCTGTTTGCACATTTATCGTGTTTATTGTTCACCAGGATGATATATTTTGAAGGGAAGGGAAGGATGAGTTGTATGAGTGGTCGTATTGTATTTAATCTGTTGTATGATTTGGCTTCTATTCTATTATACTAAACGATTTTGTGTATGGTACGAGATGGTGGTAGTGGTGGTGGTGGTGATTGTAGTAGTAGTAGTGATGGTGATAATAATAAAAGTGGTAATAGTAGTAATAATAGTTGTAATTGTGGTAACTGTAGTAGTGATAATTACGGTGGTGATGGTGGTAGGAGTGGTGTTGGTGATAGTGGTGGTAGAGAACAGTGCTAAGTAGTGTAGTATTAGTGGTGGTAATTACATAGGGCAGAGACGAGGGTAGTTATGATAATCCTGATGGTGTTTTGGTAGTGATTATGGTGGTAATTGTGGTAGTTGTGGTGGTAATGACGTTGGTTGTGGTTCGACACACACACACGTACGTTATAATCGCGAAACTTACATTAGAGGATATATAACAATTGGGCTTTGTAATATACTGAAGGGAATATCGGAGAGAGATGTATCGCTGAATCAAATGCTTTATTTACTCCGTGTTGGATTATAACGTGTGTGTGTGTGTGTGTGTGTTGTGGCTAAGGTCGATACTACTGTACGTCACGACTGAGGGGTCTCTCGCCCCCCTTATATATATAAACACACACACACACACACACAAGAGAGAGAGCGAGAGAGAGAGAGCGAGAGAGAGAGAGAGAGATAGAGAGAGATAGAGACCCCCGACAAACAAAAACAAACAAAATTATCTCGGAACAATAACAGACTAAACAAGACGACACACACACACACACACACACACACACACACAGTTCCTCCTCGCACTTCTCCTATACCCAGGGGCGTACATTTTCTGTTGACTTGATTAGGACAGTGAACGCCAAGCTCAGCGCCATCTGTGTGGGCAGGCTCTCGCGCACATTGTCAGGGGGGTAACTCACTCTCTCTCTCTCTCTCACTCTCTCTTGACTCTCTCTATTCGCGGATCTACACCACATCATCTTCTGTATATCATGTTTACTATCGTCTGATATTCGTTGAAGTTTATGACTCTTATTCCAGGTATATTCTAGTGTGTGTGTGTGTGTGTGTGTGTGTGTGGTAGAGTGTATTGTTAAGTTTGTGTTGTTGTTGATGATGATGATGATGATGATGATGTGTGTGTGCATGGATGGACTTGTGTGTGTGTGCGTGGAGGGACTTGTGTGTGTGCGTGCATGGAAGGACTTGTTTGCGTGCGTGGAGTTTTTTTTTTTGTGCATGGACTAGTTTTGTGTGCGTGTAAAGAGTTGTGCGTGTGTGTGTGTATGTGTGTGTGTGTGTTGGGCAGCTGTGTGTTACGAGTTATGAATGTTTTGTCTCGCGTGTGAGAAGTCTGTGTACGTGTGCGTGTGTGCGTGCGCGAATGTGTGTGGTGTGTGTGTTTGTGTGTGTCTGGTACTTGTGTGAGTGTGTGTTGCTGTGGAAAGTCGTGATTGTGAAGTTATTTGTTTGTTTATTTGTTTGGTTGTTTGTTTGTTTATTTCTTTAGTTGTTTGTTTGTGTTCTGGACTTAATTTTGTGTATTTGTTTGTTTACATAATGGACTTACTGGTATGGGAAGCTGTGGATATGTGACTTTGGTGTATGAGTGACGTAGAACTGGAGTGGTGGTGACATAATATTATACGCGGAGTTGAGGCGATATTTACGGTGGAGTTATTTTTAGCTGGTGTTGAGTTTACAGGACACCGGTAATGGTGAGTGATGTAGAGGTGGGAGATGATCCTCGGGTGATGGCCGGGTCATGTGACGTTACACTAAGGCAATTGTGAACAAAGACGGAGTTGAGTGGTATGGGAGATAAGACAATAATTAAGGTGTTGACTAAGCGACACTCACCGATCCGGGGAACATCGTAGGGCCTGGGGCCGGAGCGGGAGTGCCTCAGGAAGTTGGTGGTCAGGGAGGCGCCCACCTGCTGCAGGCCCGCGGCCACGGCCTCCTCCTGCCCCTCACCTGCCCCGCCGCTCACTGGGGCATCACTGACCTGCCCGCGCTTACTCCACGCCGGCCGCCGCTCCTCCTCTTCATCTTGCGGCTCCTCCTGCAGCAAATCATCATCCCCAGGCTCGCTTTGTTGTTGGTGCTGCTGCTGGTCCGCCTGGTCGTAGTGATGGTGCGACATAGAGAGGAGAGGTCCTGGGGGCACGTTAGGAGCCACATGGTGGCGGCGATAGAGATGCGGGTAATCTAAGAGAGCGCTTGCGGGTAGTGTGGATATCTGGGGCGGGTGGGCGGCGGGCGGGTGAGGGTGCAAGGCCGTGGCCGCCCGCACCAGGGCCAGCAGAGTGTTTTGGGGCCGCTGGTGGCTGCTGCCACTGGTTGACGCTAGGCAGGGTTCACACGCGCACGCTACAGCCACGAGCCAGAGGACCAGGCCACTGCTCTGCATGGTACGCGCCGGGCGAGCTGGCGGCCAACACTGCACTGAGCGGCCATATAGCGCTCCGGCCGACTCAGTGGGGGCGACGCGCAGCCGGCCCACCTGCTTCGCGCCGCCCGACACACCGCCGCCGTGCCACCCAGGTCGGTCGACCTCACTCCCAACCTGACACCTCCAGGTTCCTGTACCGCCAACACTCCCTCACATAGGTACACGCCCACAACAATAACCAACATATAGAGAACAAGAACTTCCCTGCCCCAACCCACCACCAGGTCCAGTCAGGAACCCCCGCCAAAGCCTGATTCTCTATCTGGCGCCGTCAGCCCCCCAGCCCCCTTCCTTCAAGTTTCGTCCATTCATTCAATGGGCCGGGCCACCCACGCCTTCCCCCCTCCTATCTCGGCCTCCCTTCCCACCATGGTCAGCTACCACCCCCTACTCCCCACCGCCATTCTCGCCTTAACTACTGAATGATAATCATGATTGAAGGACCTTTTACTGTACATCAGTGTTGACTTAGCAGCCTGAGGCAGAATCGTTACAATGTTGACATTTTCAAGGCGCTGTTCCCGGGTTTGGGCGCGTGCCAATTCTGAAATTGAAATGCTGGATCCTCGTGCGTCATTAGCTTTTCCTTCAAGTCTCTAACCAATGATCTACTGCAGTAAACCTCGTCACTTCATGATCACGACCTATGAACCGGATGACAAGTGCACGTCGACGTCCATATGGAGAGGAGGGTAACCTAACCACTCCCTCCAGCTGCACCCCTCGCCCCTCCCTCCTCCCTCACCGGTTCCCGCCACACCACGTCCAGCCCCTCCCCTTCCCATTCACTCGGTCGACTCACGGGGGAACCCTTCCACCAACACCCACTATGACCTCACTCAAGGACAACAAGTATTTAGTGATGGCCGCCAATCTTGTGTGAGGACAACGATGTCTCCCTCAACACCAACAAACTTTACTACACCACAAGGACGTCATCTTATCAACAACGAACACACGACCTTAGTTACCACACAGCTCTTGACCGTACTACTTCATTCACAAACACCAGGATCTTTTTTGATTACCACAACGATTCACCCATGACCGCAACAACCTCATTCACGACCACAAAGCCTCACTCACGACCACAAAACCTTACTCGCGACCACAAAACCTTACTCACGACCACAAAACCTCACTCACGACCACAATACTTTACTAACGATCACAAAACCTCACTCACGACCATAAAACTAAACTCACGACCACAAAACCTCACTCACGACCACAATACTTTACTAACGATCACAAAACCTCACTCACGACCACAAAACCTTACTCGCAACCACAAAACCTTACTCGCAACCACAAAACCTTACCCACGACCACAAAACCTTACTCACGACCACAAAACCTTACTCGCGACCACAAAACCTTACCAACGATCACATAACATCACTCGACCACAAAACCTTACACGACCACAAAAACCTCACGACCACAAAACCTTACACAAAACCACCACGATCATAACACTCACGACCACAAAACCCACACTCACAACCACAAAACCTCAATCACAACCACAAAACCTCACTCACGACCACAAAACCCCATTCACGACCACAAAACCTCCCTCACGACCATAAAACTATTCTCATGCCCAAAAAACCTCAATGACGACCACAAAACCTCACTCACGACCACAAAACCACTCACGATCATAAAACCTCGCTCACGACCACAAAACCACACTCATGACCACAAAACCACTCACGATCATAAAACATCACTCACGACCATAAAACATCACTCACGATCACAAAACCTCACTCACGACCACAAAACCTCGCTCACGACTCCCAGACATCACTGACACTCAAAAGACGACCTCACTCACACCCACGCCGACTGAGTGTGGCAATATACTGGCAGGAGGAAGCGCCAGAGGCAATAAAATGGAGGAAAAGATGTGTAGTGACTTATCGGGGGGGGGAGGAGGAAACACTTTCCTCGTAAGTCAGTGACGTAAGTTCCGGCAGTGAGTCACCCTAGTCATGACGTAAGCTAATCATGTTAAGATTAGTTCAGAAAGTTTCAGAAGAGAGGTGATTAAGGTTTACAATGACATGAAGGTCACGACCCCTAGCTTATTTCAACTGATGCTTAAATACCCTAACTAACCTAATGAAGCCCTAACCTAACCTAACCTAACCTAACCTAACCTTGAAGTGATTGTATAAATAGAATGATGCGATGAATTAAGAAAACACTCATAATGATCTTTTCTCTCTCTCTAATCACCGGGAACACACACACACACACACACACACACACACACACACACACGACCACTGTAGGAAGTGAACAACCCCTCCAGTGGAAGGTCGCTGCATACTAGAGTGAGCCTGACCCACTCACCACCACCCCTGACCCACCACCACCCTAACCCACCACCTCAACCCACCACCACCCTGACTACCACCACCCTTAACCCACCACCATCCCAAACTCACCACCATCCCAACCTTCACCACCACCCTGACCCACCACCACCCCTTCTGACACACCACCACACCCGTTACTTATCGCGTCTATTGTTTAAGCAATAATACAATATTTATCACCAAAACATACATACACAGACATGCCCTGCCCCCCACAACCCCTTCAGATGGTGGTACGTTAACTTTTATTCTCAAGACGTGGGAGCCCCAGCCACGTGTAGACCCATAACTACACTATTAATTGTACCATAAAACAGCCCCTCTAGCCCAAGTGACACCCATCTTCTCGTAAGTCGTCAATGGCTGGGTTGCACCGACTCTGAGCTGAACACTACACAAATTTTATTCTTGGGAGGGGGGGTAGTAAGGGGGGTTTAAGATGGAGGGGGTAAGGGGGGTTAAGATTAAAGGGGGTAAGAGGGAGGGGGTTTAAGATCGAGGGGGGTGAGTTAAGGGGAGGGGTAAGGAGGGGTATCCTAAACTTATCTCATTACAGTAGCGAGGATGTGATATAAACACCGTCAGCGGGAAGGTGATAAAATAAACAGTGTGTTAAGGAGTTGTTTTAGCTTATACAGTTATTGGTGAGTTTCTCTCTCTCTCTCTCTCACACCATCATCGTTTGCATCATATTACCTGTTGGCCTCTAACAGCCTCTTCCTTCCTATTCTCCCTCTTCCCTCCTACCCAGCCTCTTTCTTCCTATTCTCCCTCTTTCTTCCTATTCTCCCTCTTCCTTCCTACTTTCTCCCTGTTTACTTCACTCTTCTTCTTTACTCTCCCTCACTCTCCCTTAAGTCCCCTGATCTCCCTCGCTCTCCCTTATCCTTCCTACACCCTGGATCAAACTTCTTTGAGTAATATTCACAGTCCGGGTCCCAACACAGGGGTCGAGGCATCACCAAGATCTGAGCTCGAGATGGTGATGGCGTAGAAGTAAGAGATAAGAGAAACAGGTGAGGAGCAATATGTTGGATGGTGCTGAGAGAATATACTGGTGCGGGTGAGGTGTTGGTGACGGGAGAAGATTTTGGTGACAATACCCGATACTGCAGAAGTAGTGATGGATCCATGGCAATTCCCCATCACACAGCAGGAGGCTGCAGCCTAGGTGAGTTGCATTGGTGTCGGGGGGGGGGAGCTGGCAGAGTTGCAGGCCTAGGTGGGAGTTACTTGGGTGCTGGGGGGAGCCAAGTGAGGCTGCAGCCTAGGTGAGCACGGCGTCAGAGTGGCTTTGCATGAGCTGCAGCCTAGGGTGAGTTATTGGTGTCAGGGGGGAAAGCTGGCGAGTTGCAGCCTAGGTGAGTTACTGGTGTCAGGGGGGAGCTTAAGGAGCTGCGCCCAGGTGAGCCACTTGAGCCAGGGGAGCTTTGAGCTGCAGCCCAGGTGAGCTACTGGTGCCAGGGAGGGAGCTGGAGGAGCTGGGCAAGCCTGTGAGTTACTAAAAGTCATGGGGAGGAGCTTATGAGCTGCAGCCTAGGTGAGTTACTGGTGTCATGGGAGGAGCTTATGAGCTGCAAGCCTAGGGGTGAGTTACTGGTGCCAGGGGGGGAGCTTATGAGTTGCAGCCTAGGTGAGCTACTGTGTCAGGAGAGAGGGTTTCTATGAGCTGGCAGCCCAGGTGAGTTACTGTGTCAGGGAGAGGGAGCTTATGAGTTGCAGCCCAGGTGGTTACTGGTGTCGGGGGGGGAGGGAGAGCTGGCTAGCTGCAAGCCAAGGCGAGTTACTGTGCCAGGGGGTGACCTATGAGTAGGTAAGTTTCTGTGCCGGGGAGCTTATGAGTTGCAGCCTAGGTGAGTTACTGGTGTCAGGGGGTGGGGGGCATAGTCACAAGATGTAGGGAGCTTATGAGTTGCAGCCTAGGTGAGTTACTGGTGTCAGGGGGTGGGGGGCATAGTCACAAGATGTAGCTTCCCAGTGACTGCCCCACAGAACAGTCATCAGAGTTAAGCGGTGAACACTTTACGTCACTACCGTTGATGCTGCCCGGGAGTCGAACGCTGTTATCCACTCAGCCACCGCACCTGAGATTTTGGCTATGATTGACAACGTACAGCATTAATTGATTATTTTCTAAGACAGTATTTTAAGTTTTAATATTTGTAATGTTCACGGAAAATCTTATCAATGACGTCATTCTTGTTGGTCATCTGGACTAAATGGCTATACAGTACGTTAGCACACAACAACCAATCACGTAAGAGCCTTAATAACGTCACATGCAGATCTCGTGACCACAGCCAATTACAGAAAGACCTGATGACGTCATGTGCAGGTCTAGAAGGCGCAAGAGCCAATCACAGAAAAATGGAAGACGAACCTTGGATGGCAGATCTAAGGTAATTATTGCAGAGGGGAGGATAGTTGGCTTGTTTATCATCTTGTGCAGTAACATATAAACTACACACAACAGAGCTAATGAAAGCAAACGAGGAAAGTATTTAACTATTGACCTTACTACGTTATATTGACCTTGGTAATTACTAATGACCTTTTGACCTAACTGTTGGAGTGTGACGTGTAGTTCGTAAACATCCGATAAATATTCGTAAATTTCGTAAATATTCGCCAATGATCGACACATATTTGAATTTTGGTCACATTATGAAATTTAAAGAAGTGGCTGATGGTGACTTGAGGGAGTATACACA